TGATCAGTAACCTCAGCGTCCTCAGGGCAGGAGCTACAACAAAGATTGGGCAATAAGGGTCATCAGTGAGGAGACAGTAGATTTACGAAGGACATATATCACATTAGTGGAACTCACATATTCCTCCTCCGTATTAAGAGAGAAGCTCTGTGTTTTGGCAGGAGATCGTCTGATACTGAGCTTTCTCTCTCTCCTGCACAACATGGCCCCCTGTTGCTCCCGTAGAAGAAGCGGGAAAGTGGAAAATACATTTGCCAGGACACCTGGGGTCAAGAGCTTCCTAGTTCATCAACAAGACCCTCCAAGACCTTTATCGGAACGACGGGAAGGCTGGATTTTTTAAAAGCCCCTAAGGAAGACACTCAGACACACACAAAAGCTAACCAGTAACTCAAAAGAACTCAGTGCAGAGGTCAGTAGTTCATTTTGACCAATTTTTCCCCAAGGCTACAAACTACCGATCAACCTATCTGGGATACTGTGACTTGTTTGTTTCTATCAATGCGATGCACATTTGTACTATGCTGAGCAGCAGGTCTGCACTTTCTGCTTCACTTTCAGGAAGTCAAGAAGTCCTGAAGACAGTGCTCTGAACAAACAGTCCAAAATCAAACCAAAATAGCCTTGCTTTGGCTGTTATATTGCTTCAGAACAACTCGGGAAAGTCATAGCAAAAGCCTCCTTCAACAGTCTGTCTTTTGGGTTCTTAAATCTTCAGCCAAAGCCACATAATGTATTAACATGGCTTAGCTGACGGAAAATACATTTGTGAAGACGTCCACAAAAGGCTGATAAAGATCATGACTGCTTTTGGTGACCACAGCTTTTAATGTTTTAGTTTTCACAGAGCAAAGTCTGTTTCCAGTTAATCACATAGCTGTTGTATCCAACAAATCCATCTTAAAAAGAAAAACCTGAAAATTAATTCCTCGTTAATCATGTTCTCAATGCCAAGTGCTGCAGAAAACAAAAAAAAGGGGGTTAGAACATATTTAATGAGATTAATATGTCATTCTGCTTTGCTCCAGTTCAAAAGAATGTACTTTTTATATTTCTTGGTTATCGAAAGGTATGTATTTGTATAATTGGCACTCAAAGCTCAGCAGGAAATGCTCATTGTCAAACAGATTTATTTAATTTTGCTAGGTCATTATTATAACACGCAAGGTTTTTGAGCTTCATGCACCAAGAAAGCATTAGGCAGTGTGATGGAACCATCACATCATCCATCATTTTACAGCAAGAATTGTGTCTTATCCGAGCAGGCAGGGTGGAACCAGGCATTTTAAAATCATGCTGACTTACACATTTTAGACAATCAGAATCTGTTATTCTGTGGTTTAAGTGTTGTCATCTTGGCCACCACTTACAAAAAAACATACTGCACTAGGCCATTAATGAGCACCCAGGTGCATTCCTGGGTCTGTAATGCTCAACATACCTTTCTTATGTTTATTTACAGACAGATAAAGAATACAAATTACAGCCTTTAATCTGATTCATTAGTACAGAATTGGTGCTTTGTGAAAAGGACTAGTGCACAAGAGGAATGTATGGATCATGGATTAATTTCAGTAGACTGTTTAGGCTAGACTCGGTGGTAGACAAAGGTAAGACAGTTGCTCAACTAAATAACTTTTTCACCCATGTCCAATCACCAGGGCCTCATCTTTTAAGAGGCATCGTAAATAGTGTTCTGTTCCAGCTGAACTTTCACTAACCCTGCTTGCCCTGTTGCCGTGAAAGCGATAATAAAAGTTAACTCCATATCCATAAAAAACACAGTCAATCTAGTTCAATCAAGCTAATTGATTCTTTGTAGTTTAAGAACCCCCATTGCCCCCAGGACAATTCAGAAGCCAGTAAAGGATAGGCAAAAAAAATGTTCTGATGCTCTTTAAATCTGAAGGCTACTGTGGTGAAGAAGGTTTCTACAGTTTTCACCTCAACACTAACCAATGTGAACCTCTTTAGTGTTGTTACCTCTACAAGTTCAGAGTGCTGGGAATCAACCAGTCCACATAATCAAAAATATTGGTGTCGTGGAAATCTTGGGACATTTGAGTCCAAGCTATGAGGTAAAGAAGACAGAGGCAGGGAAAGAAAAGCTCACTCTCGCTGGTTAGCATATGGGAGACCACAATTCTGGCTGCTGTTTCCACTCGAGTTTAGGCACTGGCCTAAAACACTGCCAGGCACCATCTTTCTTACAATGACTGCCAAACAATGCTGAAGAAAAACAAAAAAAAACACCACAATGAACCACAAAAGAACCACAATGTGATCAGAAATGTTCTTTTTAGCCTTACTTGTTTGGTAACTACTAAATGAAGCAGAGCAGTCTTCTTATCCATTACTGTTCTTATGTTCTAAGAAGAACAGGGGGCGATCAAAGCCAGCAGGATGTCTTGATCTCTTTAAATCAGCTCCCAGCTACTATCCTCTGCCAATGAACCCAATACTTAGTTCTGCTGAGACCTTACAAGCTAGTCAGGTGAGCTAGGATTCAGATCGCTGGACTGTGGACCTCAGTAACTGTACATGGACAACTCTGAAAGTGGCTGGGGCTTGACAACTGGGGGCTTGGCACTCAACAGAACAGATCCCAGCTACAGACTCAAACTCTTGACCGAGTCTCAGTCACAATTCCTGACTACAAGGCCATTGAACCAGCACTCCCATGTTTCACACCGAACACCCTGCAAAATCCAGTTCATACAGGAGTAGAGGCCACACATTTTTGGGACATGATGACTGTGAGACCTGACCAAACCTGGGGCATCCCTCCCCCCACAACCACAGACACATAGAACTGGTATTTGAAAGGAAACAAAACAAAACATTTCCACCGCACAAACCAAATGACAATCACAAGGCACACTCTTTCTGTTTATGAAGGATACATTTGAATCGCGTGACAAATTCACAGGAAGAGAAGACAAAACTAAAGCCATTCACCCCACACCAATAGGCAGAGAGCATGGAAAATTATGGCCTGAAAAAAAAAACTTCCAATGTACTTTACTAAAATACGCAGCTCCATTCGTATCAGTCTCAGCCACCTTTATCCCACCAAATATCGGAGTGAAAAGAATATGGAGGCTCTGCCTTTTCATTGCTTTCCTTCCACAGATTGTGGCAAAAGTCTTAAAGAAGAGATGTGAACTTAAACTGGCTACAGCAGGACGGCCCAGTGTCGGGAGTGGAGACATGAAATCCATGGACTGGCTTTCTAGGTCTTTTAAAGACCCATGCTCTGCAGAGCACCAGTAATTCCCGCTCCAGATAAACCAGGAAGGACTGAAATTGGGGACTTCAGAGACGAGTTGAAAGGGAAACCAGTAAAAATGTGGGCCCTCCCAGTGTTTTCAATGCATTTACACATTAACTGCAAGATTGGCTTTGTGAAGCTCTACCAGTAATCTGCCCCGTGGAGAAGTAACATCTGAAGTTACCAGTCACTTCCTACCCATTGCAAAAGTGTTCTCTTCTCTTTTGAGGCTGAGGTCCAAAACTTCCATTTTGGGTAACTATAAAACTGGCCATATTATAGTTTTTGTAACCCACATAAAACTGTTCTAGATGTTACTATGTCCCTGCCTGCTTCAGGACAGCAACCCAACAAAAGCTTGAAGCCACTGCTGTGTCTAAATACGAGTGGGGAAAAAAACTACAACAGTGTAGTGGTTGCAATGCTTTCCTACCAAAAATTGAACCTGTGGTTTTCAGCTGCATTTCTGGGAGAAAAAAAATTAAAAGCATATACTGTGGTTAGCACATGAATGCAAAAGAGGAAATTCCCTTTGAGCTCCTCATGCTTTTACAAGGACAGCCCTTCTACATATTATATGCATTAAGCTGAAATTGTGAACTACCAAGAACTCAGCAGCCATATCACCCTGCAACTCACAACTGGCAGCCCACTGAAGCTCAGCAGGTGTGAGCCTGGTCAGGACCTGGATGGGAGACCTCCTGGGGAAAACTAAGGTTGCTGCTGGAAGAGGTGTTAGTGGGACCAGCAGGGGGTGCTCACCCTGTGGTCCATGTGGGTCCTAATGCCCCAGTATAGTGACGGGGACACTATACTGTAAACAGGCGCCGTCCTTCGGATGAGACGTAAAACCGAGGTCCTGACTCTCTGTGGTCATTAAAAATCCCAGGGTGTTTCTTGAAAAGAGTAGGGGTGTACCCCCGGCGTCCTGGCCAAATTCCCCATTGGCCCTTACCAATCATGGCCTCCTAATAATCCCCATCTATGAATTGGCTTCATTACTCTCCTCCCCACTGACACCTGATGTGTGGTGAGCGTTCTGGCGCACTATGGCTGCCGTCGCATCATCCAGGTGGATGCTCCACATTGGTGGTGGTGGAGTTCCCATTACCTGTAAAGCACTTTGAGTGAAGTGTCCAGAAAAGCGCTATATAAGTGTAAGCAATTATTATAACTGAAGAGCCACAGTTTTTATTGACTAGAACATCTCATGCTTTTCCTAGACAAACACTCAAGACTTTCTGTTACTACGGATGGATGTGTGCCAAAAACACATTTGTAAAACGGGGGATTCCAGACCTGGTCCTGCAACATCTTAATCCAATAGGTAATCCATTTCTGCTTGGGGAGCACTATATTCTGGGTGTAACCTGATAGCTTAAGGGTGCTCAGGTTCCCAGGTGGCGGAGGTGGTCTCATAATTTGGTTCTGAAAGATAACTAAATTACGGAGTTTAACAAACTACCTGCGCATTTTTCCCCAAACTTTGGAAACTCAGGTGAACTGTTAAACGTGATGTACTGTGTCTCTCCAGGACCCCTACTTAATAAGCAGTCCATTCTGACAAGGCCCAGTCTCAGCCAGAACCACAGGTTGCAGGACCACATTCATCAGTGATGCAGGTGAGTATGCCAACTAAAGTCAAGCTCCTCTGCTCCAAATTTCTCTGTCCTTCAGTGCCAGAGCATAAAAAAAACAACCTAATAAAACTCAACACTCCATCCAGCACTCTCGCTGTATTTTTTTTTAATTTGCATGTTTATTTGGCAGTCCAAGAAAAACAATTGCACAAGGTCCAAAAAAGTCAGTACAAGGCATTCTCAGCAGTCTGCTGGGAATGAGCAAGTCCTAAAAAAAGCAACACGCCAATTCTTCCCTCAAGTACCCTGCTCCACCCACCCCATATTCCAAACTATCCAGAGTCCTCCTGCCAATATCTATACATTCTGTACGCTCAGGACTACCCCTGCAAATGTAAACAAGTTCTGCCAATAGAGACCCCTCCCATGATTTAACCTGAACGTTCACTTGGCATTTTCTAAGAACAGTGCACAATGCTATATAATCCAAGACACGTGGCACAAAGTTCAAATAATTCCCCTAAACACTCCTAGAGAATAAAGCGACAGGGTGTGAAAGCGCTTCATTTTCACTGTGACATTTATTTTTCAAATTCTCGGACGTTCAATTTAAAGATAAACTCCTATAAACATACCTAAAAGGTCACATCATAATCCCAATAAACATAATGAAGAGAGGGAAAAAAAAAAGCTGAAGACACACTTCTATGCAAATCTGTAGGCTGACAAAAGTTTTGTTTTTTTAGTATTATGGTACAAAACGCAATATGATTGAATGGGACAGCGATACAGGTAAGGTTCTCGGATTTCTCCAGCTCGTGTGAGCGAATTTCAGAGCATGGCCGCCACCCCTCCCCTCTCACTTGCAGCTGAGTGCATGAGTGATTGGCTGATTGAGTCCAGGAATCCCGTCCTCTCCCTCTTCCCTTATTGGCTGGCTGGTTGCCGAGGAGGGGGGGGGGGATGTTACCTAGCGCATACGCATGTGCAGGCTGTGTTTGGGCCCGTCCACGCGCTCCAGCTTCTCGAAGTGCTTCCTGGCATTGCGGATATTGATGAGCGTGGCCGCAGAGGCTGGAGAGAGAAAGAGGGCGGGTGTGTGAGACTGGACAGCGCCATATGGTGGTTTAACAGAAAAACCCACCCGAAAACCTTTTTAAATCCGTGTTTCCAGGCGGCACAATGGGAAACAAAGTAAAAATTTAAAACTGTGTCAGGGGTGCTAATCTGAGGACAGCCTAGCCACAGGACAGGATTGAAGCCACTTTCCTTGAGCTGCAGTTTCACTCTTGTGTCAATAACCTGCACCTGATTTTGGAAAATTGATCTTCTCCCTTATCTAATGAAAAGGGATAAGCTGTTGGAAACAGATACCACTTCAAGAGCTTCTGCACTCAATCTAGGAGGTCCAGCCACATTTCATGCGTGTCCTGTAAAGGTGGGACACTGTCCAAGTACTGCAAGGCTATGCTGTGATGTCTGGGGGGGAAATGGGAATTTTTAGAGTTGCATCAAAGAAATGCTGTTACAGAGCCACAGTGCGAAATGCCAAAACAGCGACGTTCCTAACACACGGGGTACTTACGTATCGAGGGGTCCGACATGATGACCATCACGTAGGTGTTCGAGGTGAACACGTCAATGAAAGCCGCAAAATTGGAATTGCGGACCTCCATGCTCTGGAAGGAGGCGGCCAGTTTGCTACGAAAACAAATGACACGGATCAAACGAACGAAGGCACCGCCGCAGCGCTGCGTGTCGGCCGAGACGGCCTCGTGGCTTTTTTTTTCTGTTCCGTCTCTGATCCAGCTCGAGTAGGAGCGAATGGACGGGGGGG